AATGATCCAAGAACTTTTTGAATGTTAAGACTACTACTGGCAGATGCATAATTACATTCTTCTTTGAACCACTACACCTTTCACAAGTGCTACAATAATACTGACTTGCTCTGGCTGGTTTACCTGCTGGGCCTCTTTGAAATTACCTATGTTAGTAAAATACTTTAGAAACCACCTCTCTTGGCCCAGTACTTTCCTACCACAAACCTTGAGACCAAAACATTAACATTTCTGCAAATTGCAGAAGAATTGTTTTCAAAAGACACCTGGCAAAGCCCCTCTGGTGGGGGGCACTTGTGTTTCAGGAGAAGAAGTGTGTACTTGTATTCCAGGTGCTTGCCTGGGAGCAAGGGAGACATACTCCCCAACCCTGCCCAGAGCTGCATGTACACATCATCCCATCAGCCAAGGGAGGCCGGTGTGAAGGCTGGGGGTGGCTGGTGCTTTCCCATAACCACCAACAAGCTGACCACTCTCCGTGACCACATCCACAGCAGGAAATACCCGATGGAAGGATCGGTTAGTTAGGGCGTGCCTGCTGGGCCCTGCAGTGCCACTTGTCCCCACCTCCTTCCCCAGTCTGTATCCCACATCTCTGTGTGTGTTTGTTGTTAAAAACAAAAAGCACAGTTCAAAGAAACCCAACAATTTCTATGATTTTATCTCATTGCTGGTTTAAGTGGAATGATTGTCAGATTGCCAGACAGGTACGCCTAATTTTTACTTCTTCTGTAAGCCAAAGGCAGGTCTAAATCAATAAGGCAAACATAGTTCCAGATTTTTCTGCAGCCACAGCTGCAAGTTTAACCTAGTGTGTGATGACCAAGGAGTGCTCACGTAAGGAGGCCAGCATATCCCCAGCCTCTGGGAAGGATGGGGAGCCATGGTCCCAAAAGAAGTTATGACCAACACACTAATCAGGTTTGCTACTGATTATATTAAAAGAACCAGCTTTCAATAAGACACCTGTATTCACAGATCCCAGTAGATATTTTATTTTTTTGAGATGGGATCTCACCTAGTGTAGTGGTATCATCACAGCTCACTGCAACCTCAAACTCCTGGGCTAAAGTGATGCTCCCACTTCAGCTTCCCAAGTAGCTGGGACTGCAGGCGTGCACCACCACTCCCGGTGTTTGTTTTAAAAGTGGGTGTTGAAGAGTAGCCAGGACTGAGGAGGCAGCATCTCTGAGGGCTCTAACCCATCTGAGAATCAGGCAATGAGCTGGGCAAAAAGCTTGGCAATTAAAAATAACTTATCTTTGAAACTGGAAAGATGCCTACAGGCACTGCTCACAGTAACCTAAGCTTTTTCTTATTGTCAACTCTGAATCCCTTTTAATAAAGGAATTTGTTCTGTGAAGTTTGGATTTGGTCGAGGGGCTGCACTTGGGGACCTGGAGGGCCACATGTGGCCTTGAGGTCGCAGGTTTCCCACCCCTGGATGGAATGATGACGCTGCCTGAAAACAGAGTTTTGGTTAGAAGTTATGACTTCTATAAGAAAAATTATAATTTTAAAAATACAGAAATGAACTCTTCTAATTCTTTTATTTACTGACCAAATAATTTCATTAAATTAAAAAAAAAAGAGGAATGAAACATTTGTCTAATTTTAGTATGGCCAATATGTGCATTAAATTATCCTTAGCATGAGAGTTTTTCTCTGTTGGAAACAAATCTGTTGTATGACAAAAAAAAATTAGCATCTAAATACTACTGTGGGAAATAACAAATACGAGGGAAAACGTGATCTTGTTGGTATCTAAAGTCTTTCAGAAGAAAGTGGCCTCCTAAGCTTTTGGCTGACGTTGTCCTGCAAAGTCACTCTGGCCAGCTTTGCACCTTCTCAGACCTCATCCTAGTTGTGATCTGTCACTTTCTGAACAACCTTTACAAGAAAGGTGGACATACAATTGAGAAAATAGAATACCGATGACTTCCACGGCTTATCAGAAATCTGCCTAAGGGTGTCTATTAACTGTAAGTATGACTTTCTAGCCATATCCATAGAATCAGTGTAGACAAAATATATTAATATAAAGATTTATGATAAGCACACATATTTCTGAATTTTCTAGATTTAAGGAAGTATGGCTCACAGGTAGAGGTATGAACATGAAATATGAAGAATAAAAACAATATGTGTCACCTTTAGCTGTCAAAGATAAATGACAAGTGTAGATGAGAGAGGAGCAAGGGAAGAAGAAGAGATGGAAGAAAGAACAAAGAGTAGATACCAAGGTCAGGACAGGACAGAAAGAGCGTCCCACAGGTTCCTTTGTCCATTCATGGATTAATCCAACATATATCCCACAGGCACTTCTGAAATACCCAGTGCTTCGCTGACACTGGATAGTGTAGGATAGGACAATGTCTTTGTTTGTTTTCCCTGAAATATGCACCTCTCAGTATCGTCAAACAAAGGTCTAGCTCATTTACACTGGAATCATTCAGGATATTTAAAAAGTTGATACACATCTTGAAAAAATTGTTGTGCTTATTCAGAAGTCAGGCTTCCTGTGGTAACCTCAATTAAAAGTCCCAGGCCCAAAGATTGCAAGAGAGGAAAAGGAAATTAAATGAAGATATCTGCCTCTAAGTCCTGGAGGGAGGCTGAACCCCCCAGATACCTTTCTGTGCTGGCACACCACAACATGTGATTATGTCAGATTGTGAACCTAAGGGCTCTTGGTGGCCAGGTGGAGGCTGTGACACCAGGCTCTAACCTAAGAGATGCCAAAATGAACAGGAAAAAAGACAAAGGGGAGGGAGTAGATGGTGAAAAAAGAATAAGCAAGGGATCTGTCCACTTGTCCACCAGGACAGATCCGCAGCAGTTGCAGTGACAGAACAGACCTGGTTATGAATAGGAAATGCAGCAAACCTGGCCTAGTTCTGCTGTCGGGAGAAAGCAGCAACACTCCTTAGAGCAGCATCCGCTTGGCACAAGGCACGCATACTAACAGCTAAACATGGCGCACTCCATCAGGACAGGAGCCCTGCACAGCGTCAGGCCACAAGGAGCCACCGACGAAGATGGCACCACTATCAGTGCAGAGTCGATGTGAGTGCCAGTGGAGCCCTTTCTGCTCCCAAACCCTGGCTGGGAATTAAAGACCAGAGCACACAATGAACATATTGTTCCTTGGTTTTCCAACAAGGCAGAATGCAAAAAATCTGGAAAGCCTCCTCTAAAGATGGTTAAAAGAAAATAAAAACAATTAGTGCTTTAATTATTTAGAAAAAGTTCATTCTCTAACAATTCAAGACAAAGGAGACAGTGGGGTGCATTCAAGTTCTGAAATGGAAACCAGACAATGTATGTATCCTTTCCTACCCAAAAGGATTTGGTCCCTAAATTTAGATAGTGACAACCACCTGCACATGTTCCACAGAAAAGCCATAGGTCCTACCTAAGGCTACCCTAGAGGACACCTTTTCACCTCTCCTTTTCCAAGGTCTTTCCTCTTCTGCCCAAGTCTAGACAGAAAGAACAATGAAGGGGGCCAATGTCTCCACGCTGTGGTGTTTTAGTCCTGCTCCCTTCTTACAAGTCTCTTCAAACTCAAAATGTTGAAACCAATACACTTTTAGACTACATTATACATGTCCCTTAAGCACGCTGGACTAAGCATTTGATATTATAATTGGTTTTCCAGTGCTTTCTCTAAATTTCTGCTTGACAGAGTTAAAAGTGCTGCTGTCCTAATTCTCTTAAGGCTTCAAACATGATCTAAAGGAAGCTATGCACAGGGCTTACGTTGAGTGAGAACAATTTAATGTGATGTCTTGCCAGGAATGATAAACTCTGGCAGCTTGATAAGAAAATTTCAGAGTTCAGATTTCAGATGCGTTAACTGTCAGGCCGGCATGCCTGCCTCAGCACATCTAAAGCTACCACCGACTCTTGAGAAGCTGCTGATGCTGTAAAGGGGTCGTCCTATGTCCACCACCACGATGCTCCTTCTGCCTCAGAGAAGAGCGGATCACAGTGGCCTCTCTCTGAAGGGTTTTGAATTCTTCTCAGATCAGTCAACAGGAATCTGGAATGTGCACTCACTTACTGTGTCCTTTTCAGAGGAAAACAATCACAGTATACAGTACATACTTACTAGGCTTACAGTTTGCATTTAAAAAATGAAAGTGAAGCCTATTAGCACCAATGAAGTTCAAGTACATTGGACTCTGTCTTTGACAGTCTTGCTTTGGGGGTGTCACTACCATAGAAGGTATCTTTGGGAAGTTGTCTACGAAATGGGTCGAGTGTTTCCATAACACAGGGAAAGGCTGCCTCCTGTGGTGTGGGCCCAGTTCTCGGGGGGCAGGCTTGGCCACACTCCCAGAACGCACACCCTAGTGGTCAGATGACCACTGCTGAAGTGGCTCTGCTGTCGCAAGTCAGCAGCCTCATGCCTCCGATTCCCTGCACACACACAAAACTCGTCTCTCAAGAATCCTCCTCCTCTTTTCAATTCAGCCTTTAAGTGCTTTAAAAGCTTTTCAGAGATGATCTCAGTGGCGCTGCCTGTGGTGGAGATGACCTTGGGATTATATGGTTTACAAAGAAAAACAAACCAACCAACAAAAGGCCGTGTCAGAAACCAGGCGCCTGTCTCGCCGAGAACACTGTGTGCCTCTGCACAGAGCAGAAACAAAAGCAAGTCACCAGGGCCTTCCACACACATATTGGGGAACCAGGAGAGAAAATGAGGTTTGAGTCTGTAAAACAGAGAGGGGGGAACCTTAGAAAAGAGGCACAGCTACCTTCATGAGCTAAAAACATTTTATGTAAACTCCCGTCTCCAGGAAAACGAGTGGCCACGGCGAGCAGGTACTAAGGCAATTGCAGAGTAGCAACCCGTCCTACGCCGTGTTCATCTACGTTCTCCTGCTGTTTCGACTGTATGCCAAAGGGGCACGGCACACACAGTCATAGCGTGCAACACAAACACGCTCACTGTTCCCGCCGGGCAGCGCCCGCGGGCGGAGCGCACTTACCGAGGACTCGCTGTCCCTAATGAGGAAGTCGCCCTCGACGCCCCGCTCGTTGAGGGCGCACTCGGCCTGGTGCCGCGTCACGTTCCCGTAGTACCACTCTCTGCCCGCGAAGCGCCCGCTGGATGAGGGCCCGGTGTAGCTTATCTGCGGGACGTGGGAAGGGTGCAGGGCCGGCCCGTCACTGAGGACCATCACGTAGTTTTTGGGGACGAGGCCGACCTGGCCCCGTGCGTTTTTGCACTTCCACCACTCGGGGTCGTTCTCGGGCTTCTCGATCACCTCCATGGTCTCTCCCTTCTCGAAGTTGAGCTCCTCCTCGGTGACGGAGCTGAAGGGATACAGCGTCTGCACCACGTGCAGCACGCGCCCGCCCTGCCCGTTGCTGAGCGAGGCGCCCTTGCGCAGGCTCAGGAAGCTCGGGGACTCCGCGGCCGCCTCGTCCGCCTCCTCCAGGACGTAGTTGGAGGGGAACCAGCCGATCTGCCCGTTGTAGCTGCCTCGCCACCAGCCGTCGCTGCACTTCTCCATGACGGTGACGCGCGACCCCTTCACCAGGGACAACTCATCCTCCCGCTCCGCCACGTAGGCGAACTTGACGAAGGCCGGGATGTTGAGGTCGTAGATGCGGTCGGCGCCGCTGCCGTTGGCGGGGTACTCGGCGTCCGTGCTGGGCGTGGGGGACGCGTCCCGCGCGCTCGTCTTCCTGCGCGTCTTGCCGAGGCCTGCGGAGACACAGCAAGGCTCAGTGTGCGCTCGCGGCAACGCCGGCGCCCAGCTCCACCGTGGTTACAAACCATAGGCACCGCCAGAAAAATACAATGTTGGCAGCAGCGTTGGGCACTTACTTAAAGTTGTGCTAAAATCGATCTCTCTTACCCATAAAAAAAATGCCGGAGTACCGGCCATACAAAAGATATTAAGAACAGTGGAAAAGTTTCCTTCTGAAATGCCATTTTTAGAGAATCTATGTGCACCTCAGTTAGAAAAATAAGGCATAAAGCCACAGACAAAAAATCGTCGGCATTCTCGTATTGGGTGGGAAGTTGGGCTAAATGAATTCAAAGGCCCGTCCCAACGCTAAGATGCGTCATGTCTCAGCCTCCACGAGCAGAGCTTGCCGCCCAGCCCCGCCGCCCCCCCTCCCCGTGTCCCCACCTCCCCACCGCTGCCACCACTCCTGGGGCACTCATGGTCCTCCCTACCCGCTGCCTGGTCGCATAAGGGCCCTACTGCGCAGAAACCCATGTCTTCACCTTTCTTCTCTTCTTGCAATTCTTCTCTTCTTTCAAAACAGCGGACCAATTTCCCACAACGGATTGTGATAAACGAATTGGGAAAAATTAGCTGATACCTTAAATCTAAGGCAAAATTTTTCATACTGTGAGTCAAAACTCACTAGTGGATCATAAAAATCAATTTAATGGGTTGCAGCCAACCTGTAGGTACATGTTGGGTTTAAGGGAATAAAACAAAATTTCAGTGCACCAAACACAATTACAGTAAGTATTGTTTCTTCAGTCACAGATGTGAGTACTGAACTGTAATGTGCAACATCTTTCTTCCTGTGAATGAGGAAAAAAGTCTGAAAAGCTCTAAGGTAAAAATGCCTTAAGCCAGTTAAAATGCATAGAATTCCGGAACATTCTAGGAGAAGAAAGCATGCTGGCCCCAGAGCTGGAAACACACCACTGCACACGTGGGGCTGGGCCTTCTTCCTCCTCAGCTTTCCTGAGACACAGCTCCTCACCTGTGAGCTCTGCGTCAACCTCTAACTTAGTCAAACATGGAGGATTAGATGGTATGGAAACTGCGCTCACTCATTTGTAGACATTTTTTCTCTCCAAAATGATACCAAATGACTTTCATAGGTAGCTTGTACCTCTCTCTCCTTTTCTTCCTCAAACTGGAGTAAAGAGAGAGAGGTCCCAAGAATTATTTTTGCTTCTCTTGCCTTGCAGAGTAGGCGCGAGTCAAGAGAGTTAAAAGGCTGCATCACAATTGTCCTTGACTGTGGAGCGTTGGGCCACTGTCCCCCCACCCCCCAAAAGTGTAGACTGGCCCCAGGCCTGAGATGCTGCTGCCCTGGGACACGTGCTCAGCTTGGTGCCAGAAGGCACATGAGGTGACATGAAGTGGGTAGTCACACGGGCTTTCAAGGGAATATACCAATTCACTTAAGCTAATGGCTTCTGCTACTTCTTTCTGTACTGAAGCATTTTACTCATGCGCACAGGAAACAACAGAGTAAGGCAGAGTATTAGAACAGGTAGATTTCTACATTGGATTAACTTGCTTTACATAAAAACACAAGCCTCTAAACCTTAGAATTCATCCTTTCATGTGATTTCAAATGCAAGCTAGCTCAACTATGCAATGAGAGAGCACTGTGATAATTCCACAGTTTCATACTCCAGAGGTAGACAATTCATGAAGTAAACGTCTGTCCAGAAGGCAGGTGCCTGGGGCTCAGTGAGTAGGTGGCACAACCCTCATAGAACAGTCGGCACACTGCAGCAGCCGTGGCCAGGCAGAGGACAGCTTTTACTGGTAATGAAGATTTCAAGAAATATAACATTTAAAAATAATCTTTTAATAGATCTTTTCAAATATGTGAATCACAAAAGCTACTTCAGAAAATACCTGTGGAAGAGCAGGTGTTAGAATATTCATCAGGACATAAAGGTGACAAGATCAGCAGAAAAGACAATGTTAGATCTTAGCCATCACAATACATTTTCAAAGACACTTTATAACTGATTTAGGAATATGCTAGTTTAGTGACTTTTCACAAAACCAAAATACAATAATTTAAATTAATTAATTCAGCTACTGAGTTCCTGCAACATGCCAGGCACCATCTTAGACTTTGGGAAGAGTGAGATGAAGAAGAGATGGGCATGTTTCCTGCCCCCATGGAGCTTCTCTACCAAGATGGGAACATTCTACATATGTAGCAAGTACGCCACGGGAATTAACCTGTTTTCTAATGTGATCTAAATAGTCTTTGAGGCACTTGGGGTGGGGTAGGGGGGCAGGTGCGCAGTATAGGCTGACTAAGAGGATGCCCCTGGGAGCTCCTGAGTTGATCACTTACTAGCTGTGTGCTCTTGGTCAAATTACTTAGTATCTGTGTCTTAGTTTTACCCCTAAAATGTGGACCAAAAAAGTACTGTATTAGTCTACTTGGGCTGCCATAAAGAAGTACCACAGGCTAGGTAGCTTAAACAACATTTATTTCCTCATAGTTCTAGAGGCTGGAAATCCAAATAAAGTTGCCGTAGGGAAAGAGGCCTCTCTCTTTGCCTTGTAGATGGGCGTCTTCTCCCTGTGTCCTCACGTGGTCTGCCCTCTGTGCGTGTCTGTGTCCTAATCTCCTCTTTGTATAAGAATACCAGTAAGATTGGATTAGGGCCCATCCTAATGACCTCATTTTAAGTTAATTACCTCTGTAAAGGCTCTGCCTCCAAATACAGTTACATTCTTAGGTATGGGGGAGGGGAGTGTTAGGGCTTCAACATATAAATTTTGTGGGGACACAGGTTAGCACGTAACAGGTACGTAAGTTCAGATGATGTATATAAAGCACAGGGAGTGCTCTGCGAATAACAATTACGACTCTTATTAACTGAGCTGAAGCTCTCTTTTAGCTCTGAATGGTATTTTACCGAAAGAGGGCCCAAGTCCTCTTTAAACCACTTGGCCACGATCCTGCCAGTGCCAGATGGCCACCAGAACAGAAGGCTCTCCCGCTGGGCTTTTGGCACCTGGAAAACAAACATTCTTCCATGGGAGCAACGTCATATGTAGCTGTCGGTGCAGGGAGCTACAATTCAAGAGGCAGGTGCCTGGGGATAAGGAGGGACCTGCCTTTACTGACACCTATGTAACCCGAACCCTCACATCCCCAGTTTTACAGATGGGGAAACTGAGGCAACAAGAGGTCAAGGCACAAGCTTAACACACATAGCCAGGATTCCATCAGTCAAGAAGCTTGGCTCTGCTACAGCCTGGTGTGAAGCATGATTTCCATGGAAAGTGCACCCAGGACTCTGAATTGGGGAGTTAAGAGCCGCTTCTCCCCGCCCATTTAGGCTCTCAAGCAGAGAGAAACGTTTCCTCTGATTCTGGGGAATAAAAAGGTCCCTATGTCTGAGGATCAGGCAACGAACATTTGGGATCAGAGACGCAGTGTAACAGGCTGGGCCCAGAATAGCAGCTAGGTAGGTCTCCACAGGCCAGAGGGGTGTTGGGCGGGAAACACATGCACGGGACAGAGTTGCTTGGGTTGCTGAGAAACAGGTTCCCATTTCTCCTTTCCCCATTCTTCCCTTACCCTGGTCCTGCCCAATGGCCACATACAGGGTCCTGGGGAACAGAAGGGATGAGCGACCCTAAGTGTTGGCAAAGCAAGATTAATGTGCCTGGCCCTCTCCACTGCTAAGAATACCAGGGAAATAGGGAAAAAGCTGTGGCCAGGCTTACGCGTGGTTGGGCAAGGCAACGCAGGGGTAGAAGGCAAGAGGCAGATGTCTCTCTGCAGGACAATTAAGGGGTCTGCAAACTGGAGAGTCAGTGCCACCCTGATGTAGAGCCAGCTCTGGGGGACCCTGCCATCTCTGCTATTCTCCTCTTGTCTGGACTTCACATGAAGCGGTAACCCAGCCAGGTGGCAGCTGTGATATCTCAAAGGGAGGCTTTCCCAAGCAGTAGTTCACATGCGTCTTGCAAAGAACCCACAGGAACTCCAGGCCCTGACTGTCCCGAGGGCCAAACCCATTACCTTGAAGGTAAAGAGGCAGCCCGGGATTCCACTGCTTCCTCACTTGCTCTCTATCTACACATTTTTTTTTTCACGTCATCCACTTCAGCTCTTCTTCTTTCATTAAAGTCATACCACCTTCTTCCAGTTGTGACAGAAACACAACTTCAACTCCAATGTGTGTTTTGGATTTTAATAGGATAATGTCTCAACAAGACAGGCAAATCCTCACATCCATTTCTCTAAGACTCAGGCTGTTTTCACATACCGTAACTAAGCCACAGCCAACCCAAGCCTGGCAGCCCAGAGCCCCCATTTTCCAAAGCTGCTGCTCACCCGCTCTCTGTGCTGTATTTTGGGAGAACACACTTGCCAGCACCATCCCTTGAGGTCTGCTCACCTTGGGCCCAATAATGAATTCCCAAGCAGCATACACTGGGCCAGATCCTTCACACAGACGCACTCTCTGTGCGTGAGCCCTCAGCCATGCAGAACACCGGGGCGGTTCCAATGCCTGACATCTTGTCCTTACTGAGGCGTGGTGCACTAGCAAACTTTAGCAAGACTCTGGACAAGAGTTCAGATGACATGCTATGCTTCCAATTCTCCAGTCACAAAATCCTACTGCATAGAATTTACCTGGTGCTTGAGCACTTTTATTGGGGGTGCTGCTGCAGCATGCTTTGGATAAATCATATTTTGGATGATCGTATCTAGAACGTGACCATTACAAAATCTCTCCAACATTGTACAGTAGGTGAAGCGAAGTAGCATTTCCTCACAAAGTAATGACTTTCTCTACAGCTTGCTCAATAATGTATAAACTGCAACATCTTTGCATGAAAAAAGAACAAAGAAGGAATGGAAATTGCTGTGAAAAAAAAAGCAAGATGCTGTTTCCTGAGACATGTGCTTAGGAGTGAACAGGATTTTAACTCCTACACCAAAGATTAGGCTCTGAGA